GGGGTCTTCTCGCTGACGTTGAGTGCCGCGTGGCCAATGCTAATGATCCCCATACCCAGCGGCCTAGTTGTCCTCTTATTATCCAATTAGTATTTTGACCCGTGCCGTGCACGGGGGTCGAACAAATATTTTTTTGAATCAGTTTTTTTTGTTTTTAGTTAATGATTAAGAAATCAAGCAAAATATAATATCGAAGTGTAGAATTTTAATGAAATATATACCACAAACATTTGCTAACAAAAATTCGTCTACATATAAATCGAAAAGAACTTGTAAATGTATAAAATAAATTCAAATATTTTAGAAAACTTCACAGTAAACCACATTTTTGGTGAAGTTGCAAGGGATACCGTTGTCATCCAAAACTAACACTTTCAACATTGCCTTTGCTTTCACTCGTGAAACTGCAACATAAAATTGACCATAAGTGAATAATGATTTGGTAAAAAATAATCCAACAAATGACAATGTTTGACCTTAATTTTTATTGATAGTCATAACAATACATAAAGATATTGGGAATTGTCTTCTTTGAAACTTAAATGGTAATCCAGGATCAGATGGTATCAAATTCATTCGTGGTATGTAAACTTTCTCACTGGCATTGTTTCGTGATACAACAATTGCACCGATAACATTTCTTAGCAACTCTTTAAAGATTAACCTTGAACCATTACACAACCCCGATGTTTGATCAATGTTTCTCAATAACATGATTGGTACTCCTTTCTTTAAAACTATTTTGTGGTTTAGAATTCCAGAACATTTAATATCGTTCAAAATCTTAGTCTTTATCCAGTCAACATCTATGCCTATATCTAAATCTGCTTGGCATGAAGAATCAGAACTCAAATATATCTTTTTATCACCAGAAATAAGAGACAAAACAAAATTATTGATCATTTCAACAACTTCAAGTGTGGGTGCTAATAACGCTCTATGCATAAAGAAAGTGTAATTTTTCATAATTTCCAATAATTCTGGATATGTGAACTCCACTATACTCTTAAGCGGAGAAGTTGAGTTAAGAATCAAAGACTCTAGTTGAATTTCAATATCACCAATTCCATCATTAACCATGCCAAGCTGTCCATTTCCGCCTTTGATTATCCACTCAAGAAAATTTCATGTGTCCCTGTCAGCGTGGTTGGATGCAGATAAATGCAATCTCATTTTTTAGTCAATGTAAAGACTTTACAATATGACCACAAACTTGATGAATTGATGGTAGGTTTTACAATTTCCTCTCTTGAATCTCACAGTTAACCGGAAGGATTTGATGGAAGTCACCCCACGCACAACTATTTTTCCTCTGAAAGGTTTATTTTCATCATTTTTATTAGAGAACCGCATAATATCTCTCAACTAGCGGTCTAACACCCAAAAAGCAAATTTATTCATCATATATGCTTCAACCATGAAAGATTGTTGAAAACATAAACCTTTAATTTACACATGATGACGCATCGGCCAGTGTACTGCCAGGGTAGGGAAGGGGCGG